CCACCACCGACCGCACCTGTGCAGGATGTCCCTTGCGGGCCTTGAGCTCAGTACAGAATAAGAGAAGACTTTCCACTGATCAACATTTCTTCTACGCCCGTCTGATACCCATTTTCAATCCTCATATGTCTACTGTATTTTACCAGTTAGTCACCAGGTCAGATGAAGTTCTTTAACGGGGGCCTCGGCCGAGGAGAGACTACATCTGATAGCAGCGTCCTTCCTTAACTTGTCAGTAGAATTTGAGCGCTAGATGATGTTGGTCTTCTATATTTACCCGGCACGACGGCCAGGCTTCACTATTTTATCCAGCACGACTGTACGGCTTCATTATCAGACTGTCTAGCCCATCCATACATCAGGCGTGACTTCTCCACAGTCCCAGATGTTTAATTACTCCCACGCTGTGTCTCTGCCGTGTACCTAAGAAGTTTTTTTTTTACTACAACACTAAAACAACATTTTCAGCACCAAGGAGAGGGAAGGCCTGGCTGGCATTTCTGTATAACTGCAGTGTTGAGAGCAGTGTTTTTGTGACGAGTTTTCGGGGATAGCCTGGCCGACACGCCTGTATGACTGCCTTTTTGAGGAGTGTTGAGAATAGTGTGTGGTGTTTTCAGCACCAAGGACAGGGATAGTCATACCAAGAAAAGGGATAAGCTGGGCTGCCAGGTCTGTATAACTGCATACAGGAATAGGGATAGACAGGACAGTTCTTTTTTTTGAAAGTGTTGAGAGTCATGTTGTTGCGCCGCGTTTTCAGCACCAAGGACAGGAATAGCCTGAGGCGGCTGAACATTCGTCATGACCGCCCGTTTTGCAGACGCCCCGCGGCGCGTACCGGCACAGCCGCGTCAGTCCCGAGGCGCGGCTACGTGAACCGGCCCTGACAGCCTGTACATGTGTTCCATTATAGCGGCCGGGAGTGTATACAGCCCTGTTGTTGCGCCGCGTATTCAGCACCAAGGACAGGGATATCCTGGGCTAAACAGATCCGTCCTGCAGTCGGCACAGCAGCGTCAGCGACAGAAATTGTGAACAGTTTGCCGAGGTCCGGGGACAGGAACAAACCATGTCAGCGTAAACGTTTCGGAATGCATCTATAGCAGCGACACCTGTGCTGCAGTGCAATGTGAACCAGAAAGTTCTTCACATTGAAATTGGCAAATCTCCTGAAAAACTAATTTACTCAATTTTCAGCAAATGCTCACTCCAAGTAATCTTATGAATTGTGCCAAACCAACCAAGCAATCATGATATTGCATACGAAGACAAATGCACAAACTCAAATATTTTGGGCAGCTGCCATTTGGCATTTCCATCAGCTCGCCAATAGTTGTGTGGAAGATGCTAGTCAGCTCTTGGTTCGCAATTCAATCCTACAGACGCGAAATGAGGCAGATTTCGGCTGATGCGCGGCGATTTACCGGAGCGTCAAATTGCTGATTATTTTGAACAGGTCCATCCCACGTGGATACACGTTTCTGACTGTAACGTCACTGTGTGTTCAAAACGCACCCGATAACGTTGATATCGGTGCTGCGCGTTTCTTTATTCATTAGGAACTACGTGCTATCCATCCAGACTTTTTTAAGAGTCTGAAACGTACCAGAAGGTAGAACTGAGGTTACAGTCGGCTTCGGGATGACCCTTTGCTGTTGCGTGTCGTGTTTCCGCCGTCCGTGGAGCATTACAGACTCGCACGGACTGTCTAGCCGCTGTCTGGAGTTGGCTCTATTACTTAAAAAAACTGTCCAGACAAATTCGAGATTTGGTAGTAAGCTTCTCTTCTGGGTGACCCTTAATGATTGCGTGTCGTTGTTCCGCGTCCGCGCGAGTTGTGGAGCATTACAGACCGGCACGGACTGTCTAGCCGCTGTCTGGAGTTCGCCCACTTATTCCAGGTTTCCGTCACTGCCTATATTACTTAGGAAACTCTCCAGACAAACTCAACATTGGGGTCATATGCTTCTCCTGGTCACCTGTCTGTCATTTTGGGAAGGTGCTGCTTTTTTTCCGACCTTCATCTTACCAATAGTGCATAAATACAAAATTAACATAGTATTCAAAGACTTTTCACTGAAGAATGATTCACTCCGTTCACAGATTATTCAGGTTATGGAGGAAAAGCGTTGCAGGTTTGGGTTTCGGAATGGGTTATAAGTGCCAAATCCTGGCATCATACTTTATCTCGCGAATCTGTTACGAGTCGGTACTCATAGCCCAGGCTGTGGGTAATTTACACCTAATAGGAGACATTATATACGGTGGTGTATGGTTGGTTTTAACGCTGTGACGTACTATTGTGTATAGCTGGAGATTGGATCCGGTACGATTTGTACAAACTGTTATCTTTGTGTTATATACAGGTCAGTGCCTGTGATGTAGAGTCACGAACAACTACATAAAGACCTCCCCCCCCACCCGTTCTCTACACCTTCACTGGACGACGTGGAGTAGCCGTCATTCCAGCATGAACTACCCTGATGTGTAGATCCTTGAGGCATGTGCATAGCAGGTATTTCAGGGGGAGAAACAGGAATATGTAGTAGGTAATTAACAAAAGGGAAAGACCCCAGACATGATCAGTTGTAGGAGGCAATAGATTTTGTATTTGTCATAGTTTTTGAGCCTGATACAACCCTGTACCACTCATAAGGTGCGTGGATGATGCATGTACCTTGTGTGAGGTGTACAGGGTATGATGCATGTACCTTGTGTGAGGTGTACAGGGTATGATGCATGTACCTTGTGTGAGGTGTACAGGGTATGATGCATGTACCTTGTGTGAGGTGTACAGGGTATGATGCATGTATGTGCTGCCTGGATGCACGCTGGTGCATACCAGTGAACAGGTGGTCTCTCAGTAAGTAGACCATGCGATGCCGTTACTCTTTATTTCTCCTCTCTGTTTCCAATTTTGTTCTTGCTCTGCCATAAAGATAAAATGCCTTTTTGAAGAGCAGCCTTGCGCGGAATGATATCGGTTTACGGCAAATTGAAATTCAGAGAAGTCAGCAGCCACCGTGAGGGAGCACCCGAGTATGGGACGCCGGGCAGAGAGAAGAGAAAAACTGGTAATTTCCTGTGCTGAGATTGGTGCAGGATAAGGTCTGGATAAGGTCTGGGATACGGCGATGATTGCGCGAAGTCCGCAGTGTCCTCCTTATGATTGCCTGCAGAAATCAGCTGCTCATAAATGCCAACGTCCTGGGAGTGAGCCACAAAACACGGTCATACTGGGGACGGGGGCTGTCGTATCCAGAACCGTGGCTCTCTGGTAGCCTCCTTTGCAGGCGTTCCGGGATCGGTCGTCTTTTTTTTCGCTTATTTTCTGATCAAACGAACGAACACACGCAATAGAAGCTTCGGTTGCCAACTCGGTCCTGTCTAGGACGGTGGCTGCCGCATCATTCAGGCCAAATGCACGTTGGTCAAGTCGGATAAGACTAGAACCAAGTAAATACATGTACACGAGAAGGCCTCAGACGAACGTTGACTACAAAACCAGGGGAATTTACCCGTAATCGGTCAATGAAGCAATTACACGCGTGAAGGCCCATCCTCCCATGGGTTATTCTAAACCATCTGTACATGCAGCGATTCAGTATCTGTATAGCCGGTATAACCTACCCTGTATCTGTATAGCCGGTATAACAATAGCTGGTATAACCCGCCCTGTATCTGTATAGCCTGTATAACCCGCTCTGTGTACTTTTATCTGTATCTGTATAGCTAGTATAACCCACTCTATATCTGTACAGCCGGTAAAACCCATCCTATATCTGTATAGCCGGTATAACCCTGTATCTGTATAGCCGGTATAACCCCTGTGCCGATCCCGCACTGATGAGGGCGTGTGAGATATGACTGCCTTGGCGATGAGTACTTCACCAAGCAACATGAAAAGCTCGTTTTCCCGCCGCCTGCCTTCATGTTTTTAGACACATGTATCAGAACATGCCGTAAAACGGGCCTGTCGTAAAACACCCTTATCTGTGACGTACGGTGACGTTTACCTTATTTGGAAAGTTCAACAAACGGGCAGGGAACCAATTTCTGTGATGAGGACGGTAAATTAAAACCGGGAGCGCTGGATCGGGCAGGACGTCAAGTGGGAACCGCGGTTTATGGATAGAAAAGCAATCACAGCGGGATTGGGGGGATACTGAAATATTGAAATAGTACGAGTAACAGTCCTCGCAAGACTGCAACGCGTATCCAGGCATATTACATGACTTCTGCAAGTTAAAGCGATGCGGCTAGTAAAAACTTATACCGATAGTTTTGCTGTGGTTATTTGTGGCCCAGAGTAAGGCTTGTGGGTACGGCGGTGAGTCATTCCGCTGCATAGGTGGGGTCGTGTGGTGTAGCGGTGGCGTGTTCGGCCCAGGCCCAAGAGTCCCGGGTTCGAATCCTGCCCGAAAAGTGCCTTTGGGAAAGCCACTTTTCACGACTTTGGAAAAGGCACTTTTCACAACTTTCCTCACTTCACTCAGGTGTAAATGAGTAGGGACGTCCCTCGGATAGGACGTTAAATGGAGGTCCCGTGTTTGGGAGAGCCACACGCCAAGCACGTTAAAGAATCCATCACACTTATAGAAAAGAGTAGGAGACCTTTCAGGTGTGAGCGGTTTAAACCTTACAGTCTGGTCACAGGTTAGACACATTGACGAGGTGATATTCACCTGTTATGTCAATCCTTCCACAAATGTGGTAAGTCTTTATAAAAATGTCGCAGGCCTGGTAGTGACTGCTGTGTGTGTGTGTGTGTGGCAGCGCCTCCGGGGCAGATTACGTGCCGTGCAGATATAGACCATTAATGTTCGTACTTGAGTCCGTTGTTGTAACATATGCTGGAACTCAGCATGCATCATGCTAGAACTGATGTCCTGTATAACTCTACAAAATAACAATTTATCTCCGACACATAGTAAATGTAAGTAGTTCCGAGTCGGGGAGAGAAAAACTGTCTATTGTAAAGAAACAGCACGGAAAAGTGAGACTCACACAGATTTATTTATGCTCTAACTTAAAACTTCTGTCGTCTTCATCCAGTCCCCTTCACTATATAATATACAACTTCGTACTAATTAATTCATCTATCTGTTCTTTGGAAAATGGGTGAAATTCCATTGTTTTCTCTGCATTGTATATAAGCCAATGGGTATAAAGTGTCGAATCGTAAAAACATAATCCATTCACGTTCTGGTTATATTGTACAGTGCACAGCGCCCAACATGGCACAGACTTTATGTGTAAACTGGTATGTGGTAAAATGGTTCAGAAAAACGTGTCTGAGGTACACGTAATACAAAATATATATGAGTAGAGAGAAATAGGAGAGACACCGGCGTCACATTTCTACTATAAGCCGCCCTTCAACGTAATTTCTTAGTCTTCATCGACACAATATTCAGGACTCAGATATTATCCCTCATTTTAGTAAGGCCTGCATATCCACATACCTGAAAAAAGTCCATTTCTCATAAACAATTTGATACAAAATACAACTAAAGCATACAAGAGGCAATAGAGTTCATTATCTGTAGGTCCTCTCGTCTTCCCGAAAAAAAAGGATATTTCCCGAAGGGAATTATAATACAATATATGAAAAACTATACAAAGTATATATTGGAATTTATCTATATAACATGATTGACATCGCCAGTATTACCAATCAATGGTCTGTTGCAAGGATAGACAACGTCATACTGCTAACATTCTTATCGCCTCAAAAATAATTGGGGCATTTCAAAGGTCGAATAACACAATTTTTACTTCATCGACTGTGTTCTGATTGTCGTCAACATGCATTCAGTCGTCAGACAAGTCTGTAAACCAGTCGATCGTGATAGTCAAGTACGGTATGTACAAGGCGCTTCCCGTGATCCCCTGCGCCCTACATGACGGCGCTTCCCGCCATTTTTGAGTCCTTGACAGAAAACTTCCCTACAAGATGGCGTTTCCCGCCATTTTTGAGTCCTTGACAGAAAACGTCCCTACAAGACGGCGTTTCCCGCCATTTTTGAGTCCTTGACAGAAAACTTCCCTACAAGACGGCGTTTCCCGCCATTTGCGAGTCCTTGAGAGAAAACATGTCCGGGACGAGGTAGTCCCTCCAGTGGCCGTCGATCAGCTGGTCGGCGTTGTTCGGCGCGAGCCAGCAGCGAACCCTTTTGTTGATCAGGTGGTTCCGCCGCTCCTTCTCGTGAACTTCGACCTTCCTGTCTTTGATGTAAATCCGGGCCTTTCTAACCCCGCCCTCTAGCGGATCGTCGTCGATGTGCAGGTTTGCTGTGCCGTAGTGGAATTGTCCTGGACGGAAAACAACAATAGGTATGGTATTGTCACAGGCCTGAATATGATAATATGATACGGTATAACACAGTACAATGAGCCAGTGCATGTCCTTGGACAGCCCCTGACTGTTATATATGATATGATATGATATGATATCATATCATATCATATCATATGATAAGGTATAACACAAATACTTACCGATAAGCCTGTACACGTTCTTAGACAGCCCCTTACTGTTATATATGATATGATATGTGATATGATATGGTATGATACGGTATAACACAATACTTACCGATAAGCCCCATGCATGCCTGTAGACAGCCCCTTGCCATTCTGTACGTAGTAGCCCAGGTAGTGTGTGTGATATGATATGATATGATATAATATGATAATGATATGATACAGTATGATATGGTATAACACAGTACCTACCGATACGCCAGCCCCTTGCTGTTCTGCACATAGAAGCCCAGGTAGTCCGGTGTGATATGATATGGTATGATATGATACGATACGGTATAGCACTGTGGCAGTACTTACCGATAAGCCCGTGGGTATGCCTGTAGACAGCCCCTTGCCGTTATATATGATATGATATGATACGATATGATATGGTATAACACAGTACTTACCAATAAGCCCGTGTATGCCTGTAGACAGCCCCTTGCCATTATATATATGATAAGATATGATTATGATATGATATGATATGATATGATACGGTATAACACAGTACTTACCGATAAGCCCGTGTACCCCCGCAGACAGCCCCTTGCTGTTCTGCACATAGAACCCCAGGTAGTCCGGTGTTATATGATATGATATGATATGATACGGTATAACACAGTACTAACCGATAAGCCCATGTACTCCTGTAGACAGCCCCTTGCCGTTCTGCACGTAGAACCCCAGGTAGTCAGGCTTTATCGGGTGGTCCGCCCTGACAGGGTGCTGTAACACCACAAACTCGACCCCTGACCCCACGTGACGTACGGACATCCTGCGCCTGCGCACGTCGATGTTTACAGGCCCGCGGAGCAGCTTCGACCTTTTACCCCACGGGATGACCAGGTCCTGCGCATGCGCCGGGTCACGACCCAGCAGGAGGATCTCTTTGGGGGTTATGAAGATCCTGATGGAGCCCACAGCGATGGACAACTCTCCGAAGTAGGTCGGGAGCTTCTGTTTCCCCTCAGGAACCCTCTTGGCGGCCACCACGCGAGCATTCACCACCGTTCCTGCCGAACAACCAGTCAGTAAACCAACCAATCAATCAATCAATCGTTTAACAGAACACGAGAGGCTCTGTCTGGCAAACGGGAACTCTAAATTCGCCATTTAATGTTTCTAAGATCCCCCCATGCAGACCCTCCGGAATGAAAAGAACACGACTTTTCAATATGGCGTTTATCAATCCACTGGACATAATGTCCATTGCTTTGAGCAAACGGACATCGAAATCGAACACTTTTTTTAAAGCAATGCATGTACAGAAGTGTGTAGGTTGGACTTACCATCCTAAAGCATCATGCGTATATATGAGTCACCTGAAACGTCTGACAGTTTTCAATACATAATCCAGTTTTCCTTGCGTACAGTAGACTCTTGTACCACTAAAATGTCGTGATGCCTGAAGACATTAGAGCTAAGTTCTCACCCAGTGCGCGGTCCCGTAGCAGGTTCAGGACGTCCCCGGCCTGCCCGTTGATGTCGAAGCAGAGCGTCCCGTTCAGACCGGGCATGTCCACTATGAAGTGGGGGTCGCCGTCAACTGCACAACAGACAGGGGAGGACTGTTACTTACAGACTCAAATGCAGAGAGAAAAATCCGCACAAACTGCCCAGATGACTTTGATGTGAAGTACAACCGTACTATAAACTTTGTGATAAAACCTGTTGCTACTGCAAATGTTTATAACGGGCAGGAAGAGCCTATACCTTCAAATGTACCTTGTGCTCACGTTCCTCCTCAACAGTAACACACACAAACGACTAGAGAAACAGCCCATATAGTGCTCATGCCCCTCCCCAGCACACACACATATAGTGCTCATGCCCCTCCCCAACACACAAACATAGTGCTCATGCCCCTCCCCAGCACACACACATATAGCGCTCATGCCCCTCCCCAGCACACACACATATAGCGCTCATGCCCCTCCCCAACATACACACATATAGTGCTCATGCCCCTCCCCAGCACACACACATATAGCGCTCATGCCCCTCCCCAGCACACACACATATATCGCTCATGCCTCTCCCCAGCACACACACATATAGTGCTCATGCCCCTCCCCAACACACACATATAGTGCTCATGCCCCTCCCCAGCACACACACATATAGTGCTCATGCCCCTCCCCAACACACACATATAGTGCTCTTGCCCATCCACAACACGCACGAACCACATATAAGCTCCCCATCCCCACCTGACTGGCTGCCGCCTCCCCTCCCTTTCGCGAATCTGACAGGTGGCGGCCGTGCGAAGGCCGGTCGCCCCGGCACCGGGCCTGAG